GGGAACTTCCCATGACGTATACACCCGTACTTTTTTATGGCCTTGTATTTTTGACAAGTTAAGGGAGGTCCTAAAATGAATAAAGTAAAAGAAGTGTTACTTTTTCATATATGAACTACGGTAACCCTAAAATGGAGACACTGACGGTATAAATAGGTGTACTTTTAAATGTTAAGGGACAGAGGAGAGATTTGGAGACAGACCCTGCTCCATCTTAAAATGACAGAGAGGCTGACATGATGACATGCTCAGGAGGGTATGTTAATCTATTAATGATATTTGCAGCATTTAGTTTAATCATATAAACTCTGCTATATATTATCGTAATGGATTTTATATGTCTATATTTATATTTTTATATAAAAAAACTTTATTGCTTCCAAGACAATCCTTATTTTATATTGTATTCTCAATTATTTATATATGTTAAATAGAGGATCTCTTACACTAACTATATAAAATTATGGCTAAGATATCTGTATGGTTAGCCCTGCTAAGTTCTATGCTTTAAGACATTATAGTGGTAAATAAGGGAATCAGCCGCGATTACAATATACACACACTACACAAACACACTCTGAATTCACTATACACACACTGCACAAACACACACTCTGCATTCACTATTTAAATACTCTCACTGAATCCACTACACAAACTGCATTCACTAATCAAATACTCTCACTGAATCCACTACACACACACATATTCTTTAAAACATAGAAAATTCTGACTGACATGTATATTTTGTGCACTTACCTTAATAAAAAAAAAAAAAGATTTGCAAAATAAAAAAAATAAAAAATGTTCAGTTAACCGTAGATTTGCGTAAAAAAATACTTTATTTTATTTAAATGGTAAATGTACAGAATATCGGTAAGTTATCGGCTATCGGCCTGAAAATTCACAGATTATCGGTATCTGTATCGGCTCTAAAAATAATATCGGACGATCTCTAGTTCCTTTAACCTTTCCTTGTAAGTTTTATCCTGCAATCCATGAACCAGTTTAGTAGCCCTTCTCTGAACTCTCTCTAAAGTATCAATATCCTTCTGGAGAGTTAGGTCTCACCAGTGTTCTGTACAATGGCATGAGCACTTTCCTCTTTCTACTGCTAATACCTCTCCCTATACAACTGAGCATCTTCGTAGCATTTCCTGCTGCTCTATTACATTGTCTTCCTACCTTCAAGTCATCTGAAATAATTACCCCTACATCCCATTCTTCAGATGTTGAGGTTAGGACTCAAATATCAAATATTCTGTACTCTGCCCTTGGACTTTTACGTCCAAGATGCATTATCTTGCACTTATCCACATTAAATGTCAGCTGCCACAACTCTGACCATTTTTCTAGTTTACAAAGTCATTTGCCATTTGGCTTACACCTCCTGGAACATCAACCCTGTTACATATCTTAGTATCACCAGCAAAAAGACATACCTTACCATCAAGATCTTCTGCAATAACACTAATAAAAATATTTAAGAGAATGGGTCCAAGTACAGATCCCTGAGGTACCACACTGGTGACAAGACCATGCCTCGAATATACTCCAGTGACTACAACCCTCTGTTCCCTGTCACTCAGCCACTGCCTTACCCTTTCAACAATATTGGAATACAAACTTAAAGATTTCAGTTTATTAATAAGCCTTCTATGTGTAACAGTGTCAAAAGCCTTACAGAAATCAAGAAAAGCAATGTCTACTGCACCACCTACCTGGGGGGGATCTGCCTTGACGTTGGCAGGTGGGCTTATCCTCTCATGGCCACTGGAGGTAACTAAAAAACCTCAATTTGTTTAAAAATACATAGGGATTAAGGAAAAAGCCTGGTGGGCCGTGGTGGCCATGGGCCGAGGCCGGCAGGGAGATCACAGAATCTCCCATGCCGGACTTTGCAGGGCCGGCACTACCAGAGCGCCGGCCCTGCAGTAGTCCACGGCGGGCCGGTGGGGAGATCAAAGATCTCTCTCACCAGCCCACATACAGTATATTCCTGCTCACAGCGGGCAGAGAGGGAGGGAGACAGCCAGGAGAGGAACCCGGAGAAGCTCTAACTTGCAGCTCCGCCGGGTTCCTCTCGCGAGATTCGGAGCGTTGCCATGGCAACGTTCCGGGTCTCGCGAGAGTGAACTCTAGCCCCACAGGCTGGAGTTCACTCACCACTAAGACCACCAGGGGTGGATGTCAGCAGCAGCAGGATCCCCCCTCCCAGGCATAAGGTAAGAAGGGAGGAGGGAAATAATCACCCAAGTAATATCAGCCTCGCTTGCTCTCACACACCCTGCACCCCTGACATTCTCATCACCCTCACTCACACACACACACTGCACCCCTGACACTCACAGCACCCTCACTCACACACGATGCACCCCTGACACTCACAGCTTCCTCACACGCGCACACTGCACCCTTACACACAGCTTCCTCACACGCACATAGCACCCATCACTCCCACACACACACTACACCCCTTACACACACACAGCACAATATGCTTTCCAAGCATTTTTGTCTACTGGTATCCCATTTATGGAGACACCAGAGACAAATTTCAAGCAAATACAGTGCAAGCATGTTATTAAATTTGCTTGCGCTGTGCAGAACAAATACAGGGTCTTTTTCTCATGCTAGAGCTCTTCAGAAGAGCTCTGCACATGGTCTACCCTGGAAGAGCATTGAACCAACATGCTCACTTTGCGATGGGGCGTGCTTGTCATTGAGGATGACAAAACACATCCTATCTGGCCCCGCCACCTTTTTAGTGGCCCGCTGTAATTAAGAAATGCCCGGAACAAATTTTCTTCCCAGTCCGGCCCTGACTGTAGTCAGTAAGCACAGGACTTATCTTTCTGCATTTGTATTATTTTAGTTACCCAATCAAAAAAAATCTATTCACTATGGTTGCCCGACTCCTCCCTACTACCTTTCTTGTGAATGAGCACAACATTCGCCAACTTCCAATCTTCTGAGGCTACTCGTGTTAACAATGATTGGTTAAATAAATCCGTTAATGGTTTTGCTAGTATACCACTAGGCTCTTTTAATAACTTTGGGTGTATTTCATCAGGTCCCATTGACTTATTGGTCTTTACTTTTGACAGTAGAAATAGGAAATCTTCTTTTGTAAACTGACCTGTAACAAATGACTAATTTGTCCTTTTTCCTAACTGAGGCTCCTTTCCTTCATTTTCATCTGAAAATATTGAACAAATGAAGGAAGGAGGGAAATAATCACCCAAGTAATATCAGCCTCGCTTGCTCTCACACACCCTGCACCCCTGACACTCTCATCACCCTCACTCACACACGCTGCACCCCTGACACTCACAGCTTCCTCACACGCGCACACTGCACCCTTACACACAGCTTCCTCACACGCACATAGCACCCATCACTCCCACACACACACACAACACAATATGCTTTCCAAGCATTTTTGTCTACTGGTATACCATTTATGGAGACACCAGAGACAAATTTCAAGCAAATACAGTGCAAGCATGTTATTAAATTTGCTTGCGCTGTGCAGAACAAATACAGGGTCTTTTTCTCATGCTAGAGCTCTTCAGCAGAGCTCTGCACATGGTCTACCCTGGAAGAGCATTGAACCAACATGCTCACTTTGCGATGGGGCGTGCTTGTCATTGATGATGACAAAACACATCCTATCTGGCCCCGCCACCTTTTTAGTGGGCCGCTGTAATTAAGAAATGCCCGGGACAAATTTTCTTCCCAGTCCGGCCCTGACTGTAGTCAGTAAGCGCAGGACTTATCTTTCTGCATTTGTATTATTTTAGTTACCCAATCAAAAAAATCTATTCACTATGGTTGCCCGAAAATATTGAACAAAAATGTTCATTGAGGCAGTCAGCTAGATCTTTATCCTCTTCTACATACCTTCCTTCCTTTGTTTTTAATCTAACTAATCCCTGTTTTACTTTCCTTTTCTCATTTATGTATCTAAAAAATGTTTTGTCCCTTTTTTTATTGACTGTGCCATTTTCTCTTCTGTGTGTGATTTGGAAGCCCTGCAAACAAATGTGGATAGGGAAATCACTTAAAATACAGATGAGCCATAAAATAGCACTAGATGGAATCTTTGATTTTAGCTTTGGAAGAACATAAATCAAAATCTAAAGCATGGCTGTCAGGAGGATCACCATAATTATCAATTAGAGAGAGGGTTGGAGTGCAGGGTATTCTCTTTCATTGTTCAAACTGAGCTCAACTCCTGATGCATGGAGAAAAGGCCTTCACAAGCCTCTGCTATTGCGTACATAGTTTATACAACGTGACTCATAGGTTGAGGAGGCGGTGACCGTGGCGGTGTAGGTGGAAGCGGCGGTGGATGAGGTAGCCAACACTGGTTGTTTGTTTGTGGGTTTTTTTGTTAATTGGGGTAGCCCCAAAATATTGGGACATATAAAAAAAGAAACAATTGCGGCCTGCGGTGCATTTCTTGCAGACCTGATGCATGGAGAAATGCTCAACTGCTGATGCATGGAGAAAAGGCCTTCACAAGCCTCTGCTAATGTGTACCTAGTTTATACTAAGTGACCCATAGGTTGAGGAGGCGGTGACCGTGGAGGTGGAGGATGAGGTAGCCAACACTGTTTTTATACACACACACACACACACACACATCATATATTTATATATACATACATACACACACACATATTTATATATACATACATACACACACACATATTTATATATACATACATACACACACACATATTTATATATACATACATACACACACACATATATATATATATATATATATATATATATATATATATATATATATATATATATATATATATATATATATATATATATATATATATATACGTATACACACACACACGGTATTTCGTACCAGATTTAACGATCCATTCGTAGTTTCACAGTGAGGTGGGCAGTCCACATATATACGTATACACACACACACACACACACACACACACACACATATATATATATATGTACACACACACACACATATACGTATACACACACACACACACACACACACACACACATATATATATATTTTTATTTATTTATTTTTTTTAATTGGGGTAGCCCCCAAAATATTGGGACATATAAAAAAAAAAAAAGACAACTCTGTTCCGCAGAGTAGCTGTTGACATAATTGCGCAGGAACTTTGTTGACTCTAGAAAATCTCAGGCAAATCGCACATTCCCGTGGCGAGGACTTTGCATGCGGATGTCATCCAGATCAACTTTTGATGCCAGTTTCTGCACATACCAAGGTGACCACAGGTAGCGGGGAATCAGGGTTCCATTCCGTAAAGGGACCCTGAGAAACAGCTACCACATGCAAGGAAGGCAGCAGGTGTGCAAATGACCCACTCCCGACGCGGGAAAGTAGTGACGACAAATAACAATACAGGCCCTGTAATTGTAATGAGTCCACTTAAAAATCCTTTAACTCTGATCAATTGGAGGGAAGTCTGGTGCAGAGCCACTGACCCGTGCGTGCTGCAGCTGAAACTCCACTATCGCCTGCTGCTGCTAGCAAAGTCTCATGAGGCGGTGAGCGGGAAGGCTGAAGTTACGCTGCAGTACAGACAGGCAAACAGCAGCAGGGTGACAACGCCAAAAATATTGTAATTCTGGGGCAATACCCTCACAAGTCAAACTGAGAGGTCAGTTTATAGGGAAAACTGTTGCCTGGAGTAAATTCTAAAACAATTTCCATATGTCCTTTGCAGACTTTACATGCTGGAAAAACACAAGTGCCAACTGATGTGGCTTTCTGCAGTGTGCATACCTGCAAGGAGGGCAGGGTTGAGGAGTGGGTGGAAGATGATGTAAAGGATGATGAGGTCCTAGAACCCACATGGAATCAAGGTCATGCGAGTGACGTGTGCAGTTTGGAGGAAGAGGCACTGGTCGCACAGAGGCAGGGTGCAAAAGCGGAGGGCCCGTCCCCTAGCGCTCGTCGGCATGTATTAGCTCGAGAATTACCAGTTATCCAAGTAATACATGTAGCGATCAAAGGAGCCATAATGGACTTGAGCGAACCCGAACTGCAAACGATTCAACGATCCATTCATAGTTTCACAGTGAGGTGGGCAGTCCGGTGACCAGGACCCAGTCACTGAATGGGCGGCGGTCGGACGACCGGGAACGAGTATGCCTGATGTTGAAGTTAGGGGTCACAGTGTGGAATGGATTAGCAGGGTCTGGTGCAGGGTAACCCCACCAGCGCTTGTGCAGCCACATACCAGGACCCTGATGCAGCTTCAGTAAAAAAGAGTACTTGATACCAGAAGCCATCACCAGACTGATCCGTAACTTGGAACAGGATGTGACATTCACTGTAGCGGCTGTGCGCACTTTTGGTGTTGTCACCCTGCTGCTGCTCCCCTGTCTGTGCTGCAGAGTAACTTTGGCCTTCCCGCTCACCGCCTCATGAGACTTTGCGATCAGCAGCAGGCTGGAGTTTCAGCTGCAGCACACACAGGTCAGTGGCTCTGCACCAGACTTCCCTCCAATTGATCAGAGTTAAAGGATTTCAAGTGGACTCATTACAATTACAGGTCCTCTAAAGAGTCCTGTACTGTTATTTGTCGTCACTACCATCCCGCGTCGGGAGTGGGTCATTTGCACGCCTGCTTCCTTCCTTGCATGTGGTAGCCGTTTCTCAGGGTCCCTAGACGGAATTGAACCCTGATTCCCAGTTACCCGTGGTCACCATGGTAGGCGCAGAAACTGGCATCAAAAGTTGATAACATGCGCATGCAAAGTCGCCGCCACGGGGATGTGCGATTTGCCCGAGGTTCTCTAGAGTCAACAAAGTTCCTGCGCAACTATAAAGTCAACAGCTACTCTGTTGTTTTTTTTTTTTGTTTTTTTTTTAATATGTCACAATATTTTGGGGGCTACACCAATTAAAATAAATAAATAATATATATATATATATATAAAAAAAACTAGGTACACATTAGCAGAGGCTTGTGAAGGCCTTTTCTCCATGCATCAGGACTGCAAGAAATGCACCGCAGGCCGCAATTGTTTCTTTTTTTTTTATATGTCCCAATATTTTGGGGGCTACCCCAATTAAAAAAACAAAAAAAAAACACAAACAAATAAAAAACAGTGTTGGCTACCTCATCCACCGCCGCTTCCACCTACACCGCCACGGTCACCGCCTCCTCAACCTATGGGTCACGTAGTATAAACTATGTGCACAATAGCAGGGGCTTGTGAAGGCCTTTTCGCCATGCATCAGGAGTTGAGCTCAGTTTGAACAATGAAAGAGAATACCCTTCACTCCAACCCTTCTCTCAAATGGATAATTCTGGTGATCCTCCTGACAGCCATGCTTTAGATTTTAATTTATGTTCTTCCAAAGCTAAAATCAAAGATTCCATCTAGTGCTATTTTATGGCTCAGCTGTATTTTTAATTTTTATGTTATTTGAAGTGATTTCCCTATCCACATTTGTTTGCAGGACACTTGTCCTACTCTTACCCCCATTTTACTTGCTTTTGCAGCTTTCTAGCTCTTTCAAGGAGTTTTTTAGAGGGATTTTTGTGGCCAAAAGTTCGGGTCCCCATTGACTTCAATGGGGTTCGGGTTCAGGGTCAAGTTCGAACCCGAACCCGGACTTTTTTCAAAGTTCAGCCAACTCTACCCCTTAAGTAGATTTGCCTACAGATGTTAGGGAAAATCAACTTTTGGCTGTCACCATTAAATCATAGAACTTGATTAGACTGTGCCTGGGCATTCACTGGCAATATTCAATGTTTAACTCCTTTTTGGCCAACCCCTTATTTCAGTGTTGGCAGGTAGCATATCCTTACACTCATTGGAGTAGAGGAGGAGTCAAGTATATTGGAGCCTGCCTTCATATGGATTCTAATACCTTACTATCCATCTCAGCCTTTCAAGGTAAATACCTCAATTTCCCCACACCTTTTTATTCTTTTCTTCAAATTCATATTTTCTTACAATCTCTAAAGTCTCTGCAGACTGGGAAAACACACTTGACAACATTTTTATCCTAAAATAAAAATTACTCACTAAGCACACTTAAAGCGGCACTGTCATGCCGAATCCTGTTTTTTTTGTTGTTTTTTTTAACCCCCCTCCCGCCTCCACTACATCTGACACCCTAGTCACCCCCAAATGCCCCTAAGCCCCCCACATTACCTATTTTGTTTTCTGCCCCGATCTTTATTCAGGGCGCCGCCATCTTTGTGTGGGTAGATGAAGTCCCTGTGGGACACGTCATCTGCCCACACTAGACAGACTGTGAGATTCCCGCACATGCCCAGTGAAACACCTGGACATGCGAACGGGAATTTCATCTATTCATTCATTCATCAGACAGACGAATGAATACAAATGTCAGCCGAACAAACTAACACTGTGTATCTGTGTATCAGTGTTCGTTTGTTTGATCAGTTTATTATAAGGAGGGAGCTACCGGCACACAGCTCCCTCCTTGTAATATGTAAAGATAGAAGCGGCAGGGAGCAGTGCTCCCCACCATTTCATAAGCCCCCCCTCACTCTATGGGGGTCAATATGACAGGTGGGGGCCCTAAATATAAAATAACCTGCGCGGCGGGTAGGGGGCCATAATGATAATGATGGGGGGACCTACTGTCCTCCCCCCCCCCGGCCCCCACCCCTGCGCGGCGGGTAGGGGGCCATAATGATAATGATGGGGGGACCTACTGTCCCCCCCCCTGGCCATAAAGATAATGAGGGGGACCCACTGTCCCTCCCCTGCGGGGTGGTGGGGGCCATAAAGATAATGAGGGGGGACCTACTGTCCTTCCCCCCCCTGCGCGGCGGGTAGGGGGCCATAATGATAATGATGGGGGGACCTACTGTCCCCCCCCTCTGGCCATAAAGATAATGAGGGGGGACCCCTACTGTGTCCCTCCCCCCCCCCGCGCGGCAGATGGGGGCCATAAAGATAATGAGGGGGGACCTACTGTCCTCCCCCCCCCTGCGCGGCGGGTAGGGGGCCATAATGATAATGATGGGGGGACCTACTGTCCCCCCCCCCTGGCCATAAAAATAATGAGGGGGGGACCCCTACTGTCCTCTTGAAATCCATCCAATCACAGTGCTCTGTGTCATTTTACACAGCGTGGGAAAGTTATTTTGATGGATTTCAAGCTATCCAATCACTGTGCTCTGTGTCATTTTACACAGTGTGGGAAAGTTCTTTTGAATTTTCCCACGCTGTGTAAAATGACACAGAGCACTGTGATTGGATGGATTTCAAGCCATCCAATCACTATGCTCTGTGTCATTTTACACAGTTTGGGAAAGTTACTGGGAAATGGTAGACTCATTTTCCGGAGTTGGATATTGAAAACTTGAGTAACAGACTAAAAATTTGATCTTAAATTTCACAAGTATTACCTGCTTCCACACATTAACGGACCACTATAGGCACCCAGACCACTTCAGCTTAATGAAGTGGTCTGGGTGCCAGCTCCATCTAGGTTTAACCCTTTCTGCTGTAAACATAGCAGTTTCAGAGAAACTCCTATGTTTACAAATGGGTTAATCCAGCCTCTAGTGGCTGTCTCACTGACAGCCGCTAGAGGCGCTTCCGCGATTCTCACTGATTTTCACAGTGTGAAGACGCTTGCGTCCATAGGAAAGCATTGAGAATGCTTTTCTATGGACTGGCTGAATGCGCGCACGGCTCTTGCCGCACATGCGCATTCTGACGATGACGGCAAAAAGGAGGAGGAGAGTTCCCCGCGCCGAGGGAGCCCGGCAGGGGAAAACAGGTAAGATTTAACCCCTTCCACCCACTAGAGCCCGGTGGGAAGGGGGCCCATAGGGTGGGGGGGACCTAGAGATCCTATAGTGCCAGGAAAACGAGTATTTTTTTTCTGGCACTATAGTGGTCCTTTAAGAGATGCATTTAAAAATATTTCTTACCTGGCTCTGGATCAATAGTACAAGCTGAGGTTTATTTATTTATTACTGGTATTTACAAAGGCAGAGTACCTCTCTACCAACCACCCCATTCCGTACCAAATGACAACATGCTTTCTATACGGATTGGTTGGAAACTCTGAATGAGGAACGATTGACTAGGAGTTTCTTTCAAACCTTGCAGCCATTTATTAATTCCATAATTAATACAGCTTTCTCAAAAGTGAATGTGACATTCAGACTGACATTCACTTTTGAGAAAGCTGTAAGCGAAACACTTCAAGTGGAGATTAAGGATTGCCTACAAGGACTGGTTTTATTTATAGTTCTTTTTACTATATAGTTTACTTTTAAATAGTTTTATTCATTTTGTTTATTAATAAAGATTCTGTTTTAATACCCAGTCACTCTTGAGCTCCTTATACTCTCATATCCCTATATCTCCCCACTATATCCCTAGGTGGGGGTTGTTCCACCTAAAGCTCCATACACTAGAGCAGGTCATTGCTATAGCAAATGAAAGTAGGTCAAATATTACTTATCCTACTTTAACATACGTACTGTACCATTGGTACATATCCTTATTATTTTCATATGATGAACTGCACTACCTTGGGAATCTGATACCAGCAAAAAAGAAATCCTTAGACGGGGATTGTTCTGTCCAGGCTCCTAAAATAGAGCTTTTTAAGCTCTGGAAAACGTGAGTGCCCCTTTGGAATATATCTTTATCACCATATTATTCATAACATACTGCACTATCATTGTACTTTTATTTCCTTTTTTTTTTTTTTTTAAGAGTAAGACACATAATTTCGAAATCTGCAGCTACCTGTGTATGTATGATTTTATTATAATAATTCTTAGCGCTGTCCACCTAATTTACTAGCTTGTTTTGTTCTACTGTTCACAAGGTAAAAGGAACTCCTTGTTGGTGAATGGCTGCTTTATTGGATAGAGAGCACTAATCACTTGACACTTAGAGACATTGGGACACTGAGACATGGTGACACAGACCCTAGGGGACAATGGGAGAGACATGGGGACACAGAGACTAGAGGAATCTGGGAGACAAGGGACACAGACACTAGGAACACATTGGGACACTGAGACACTGGCTGGGAGACATGGGGACACAAACTAGGGGACTCTATGAGACATGGGGCCACTGTGTCCCTAGTGTCTCAGGATCCCCATGTTCCCCAAGTGTCTCAATGTCCCTATGTCTCCCAGTGTCCCAATATCTCAGTGTCCCCAAGTCTGTCACCGTCCCCATGTCTCAGTTTCCCCTAGTGTCTCAGTGTCCCCAGGTTTTCAAGTGCCCCCTAGTGTTTCAGTGTCACCAAGTTTCCCTATGCCTCCCAGTGTCCCCAAGTCTCTCACCGTTCCCATCTCGAAGTTTCCCCTAGTGTCTGTGTCGCCAGGTCTGCCAGTGCCCCCTAGTGTCTCAGTGTTCCCAAGTGTCTATATGTCTCCCAGTGTCCCCATGTCTCAGTGCCCCCTAGTGTGTGTCCCCATGTTTCCCTGCAGCCTTTCCCCTCATCCCACACTCACCTGAGCTGTTGGCTGTCTCTGCAGGCTCGGAGCTGCTGTCTGGACTATCAGTGCAGAGTTGCTCCCCCAAGGATCAGTGAGTAGGGAGGGAAATGATGTATCTTCTTATCCCTGCCTCTCTCCACACACACAGCGACCCCTACTGGCCGGCGCTGGTATTGCAGAATAATCTCTGTATATACTAAGACTGACATTTGTATTGCAGGTATTACTGCAATACCGGCACCGGCTAGGCAGCCTCAAAAACCTGAAAAATACCTCTGAGAAATATCTGGAAACCCTAAGAGTAGTGTGTCTTAAAAAAATAATAAAAATATATGTATTTATTTACTTTAATAAACAGTTCAGCCTTCCTCACATTAGTTTTTTGCTGTTGATCCAAAAGAAAGCAAAAAAACCCAGTTTGAAGCACTTCCAATTTTGCAACAAGCTAGGAAAAAAATTCCTTCTTGACCCCAGAATGGCAGTCAGATTTATCCTTGGATCAAGCAGTTGTTACCCTACATTGAAAGATTATATCCTTGAATATTCT